AACAACAACAACAACAACAACAACAACAGAACTAGGTCCTTTGCGTGTTTTGGGAGTTTTTTTCCTGTTTTTTGAAGGATTCTTGACCTTTGGGTCTTGGTGTTGATGGTTTTGAGTCTTTTCCATTCTGGTTTGCTTTTTGTGCATTTTTGGCCAGATTATCCCACACAGATTTCTTCACTGGAGCTTTTTCTTCAGTTTCATCATCATCATCATCATCGTCGTCGTTATCATCATCATCGTCATCTTCATCAGCAGCAAGTTTTACTTTTTTCTGTGGAACTTTGTTGCCACTGGCAGGGGCCGATCGCTTTCCTGATATACTTAGGAGCTTCACATCTTCCTCCTCTTCATCATCTGACTCTGCATCTTCTTCCACAGCTACTAAGTGCTGTCCACTGATATGCACAGGCCCTGAGCCACACTTCAACCGTAAGACCACAGGTGGTGTTTTCAAAGCCCCCAAGGGAGACCGTTGGCTGTACAGACATTTTCAAAGTTGCCAGTGTTACTTTAATTGGGCTGCCTTCATAATTCATTGCCTCTGCTTCAACAATGTGCAATTCATCCTTTGCACCAGCCCGTAAACTGACCGTTCTTAAAGATAACTGGTGCTCATTTTCATCATTATCCACCTTAAAGTGATAATCTTTGTCAGCCTTTAGTTCACAACCGAAAAGATAGTTTTGGGGCCTCAGGGGCCTCATGTCCATGTCCATCGAATCTTCCATAAGGTGGTGGCACGCACTTAGGTGGGAAAGAAGCAGGATGGAGAAAAAGCACTACTGTTTCTCAGAACAGCTGCGCAGGACAGAATCACACCAAGCTTAAGATACTTTTTATAAGAAAAAGGAACACTGTATACAGGTAGTCCCCAACTTACCATGTACTGGAGTTATGACAAATTCCCCTTAAGACTGTCTCTTGTTTTGGCGGGGGTGCTTTTTGTACATTTTATGTAATGTGTACTACATACAATGTTGCAACGTGTAATTTGCTGATGTTATCGTTGCCAAATGTTCACTCGCAGATGTTCAATGCTATGATTCATAAAATTACTGATAATAAAAGGCAGTAATAATGAAGACTTTTTAAAAAATGAGGTACTGAACTTACATCAGAACTAATTTACAACGGCACCACTGGAATGGAACCCTGCTATAAGTCGGGGACAACCTGCATAAAGAAAATGCTAACTTCATATACATCCAAGTTTTTAAAGTCATTATATCATGGTCCAAGGTGGAGAAATATTGTCCTTATAAAGGACATTGCTGGGGCAGCTGGAAAAATTTTAATATGAACAATAGTCTAGGCAACCTTATTGTGTCCATGTTAAATTCCTTGATTTTATAATTATACTGTGCTATGTGAGAGAATGTTCTTATAATTAGGAAATATATGTTAAAGAGCACAGAAGTATAGGAATGTAATATATCTCAAATGGTTCAGAAATCATGTATACATATATATAAAGACTGATAAAGAAAATAATGACAAAATGTTAAAAATTGGTACAACAGGATAAATAGTAGCCAAGAGTTCTTGTACTATTTTTGCAACTTTTCTGTAAGTCTACAATTATTTCAAAAAGACCTTAAAATATTTTTTTTAAATCCTAGAATAATAAAAAACAAAAAACTCTACTGCCATCAAGTTGATTTTGACTCATAGTGATCCCCATTGGGTTTCCAAGGCTATAAATCTTTATGGAAGTAGATTGCCTCATCTTCCTCCTGCAAAGCACCTGGTGGGTTTGAACTACCGACGTTTGGTTAGCAACCAAGTGCCTTACCCACTATGCCACCAGAGCTCCTAAATCCTAGGACAGTTACTATAAATTTATAATTACATAATGAAAAATATTTATAAGCAACAGGCCTGATCTACACTATTTTTAGTCTAATTTTCATGATGAATTTGCACAATGGTTCCTACAAATATGACATCTTAAAAACTTTGAAGATAGAAGGTCCTAAACAAAGGGATGGTTAGTTTCCATGTTCAAACTATGGATTCTTTTCTCCAGAGAGAACACACTACTCTTCAAGGTCTAAAAGACAACAGTAACAACAAAGAGAAACCCTTTAAGTAAAACACCTCAACAGTCCAAGAGGAGTTTCTGTGAATAGTTTCAATTGCTCTAAAATCTAGAAAATGAGTATGACAGAAAAGAAATCAAATCATGGGAACAAGAAAAAGAAACTTCTGATTTGGTAATATTTTTAAGAAAGTATCTCTATTTTATAGATCAGACAAGTATGCAAAATGAAAAGAACACCAGAAATAAAGTTAAAACAGCAATAACCATTCTAGCAATGAATCCAAAACAATCCACCAAATACTCATATTCAGCCTGTGACTTACACTAAGTTCACAAGTAACCAATTATCTAGTTAAACTACCTGTTACTTTATCAGTCAAACTGGTATTGACATCATTTTGAATTGCACTGTTCATTCATTCTTGACTGAAACAAATAGGAAGAATGGAGGGATATTAATATGATTACCTATTTAAACCAAAAGCCAAAAAATATTAATTTCGATTTTCCTGTGTTTCAATTATAACCAAATAGTTCAAAGTTCTACTAATGCCTATTTCCCCAAACAATTCTCACAGGCTAAGAGAAGAAAACCAAGGATTGGGAAGAAAACAGGAAGAAAGCCAAAAAGGAATGAAGAAAATTTTTAAGAGAGAAACAGATACATGCATCATGGTAATTACTTCTCAGATTAAAGCCACAGTGTATGTGCGGAGGGCATTTGTGGTTCAGTGGTAGAATCCTTGTGTGGTGGTTAAGTCTGCTGTCAACTTGGCTGGGCCTCGTTGAGTGGCTGGGCAGCTGGATGTAGTTATTCCCCATGGTGAGATTGGTAATTAACTCCATGGTGGAATCTATTGGAGGCTCAGTAGCTGCTTTAGGGATGTGGTCTGCTTCTAGTATATAAGAAACAGCTTTGGGAATGGTCTCTAGCCTTTTGGCATGCTTGAACCCTGCATGTAGCAAAGTCATTGTTCAATAGCCTGCCATACCCTGCCGATCTTGGGACCTCATCTGGATTTGAATCAGTGGCCTGCCATGTTTGTTTGGTGACTTTGGGACTGTGCCTTTTTGCTTGTCAGACTCAGCAGCCAGCAGCTGTATGAATGAAGAAAGCTTCCAGCTTGAGTGGGCCAGGACCAGGAGATAGAGCTGAAGTCCAAGGTTGAGGGGCTTTCACCCAGCCCCTAGAGCCTAGCACTTTGAACTTGGACTTAAAGCCTCCAAGCTATAAGCAAATAAACTCCTGTTTGTTAAGGCTGTCCTGTTTGTGGTATATCTGTTAGAGCGGCACTAGGGAACCACCTTGCCTTTCATGCAGGAGACTTGAGTTGGATTCCAGACAATGCACCTCATGCATAGCCACCATCCACCTCTCAGTGGAGGCTTGCATATTGCTGTGACGCAGAACAAGTTTCAGCAGAGCTCCCAGACTAAGACAGACTAGGAAGAAAGGCCAGGCAATCTACTTCTGAAAAATCAGCCAATGAAAACCCTATGGTGCAATGGCCCAACTGGCAATTGATCATGGGGATTTATGCAGTGTTTCATTCTACTGTGATGCCATGAGGCAAGGGCTGCAACAGCTAACAACAACATTATATGTGTACGCAGTTTTCTTTATCAACTGCAACCTAAAGTATGGATTAGGGCTAAAGACAGAAAGCAATGGTTTAAAAAAACAAACCACAAACACCAAAAAAAGACTTTGTAATACCTTCTTCACAACCTGAGAAAGCATTTATTTCTGACTTTCTATAACCAGTAAGAAATTTCAGATTTGTGATTCTGAAACTGTCAACTTGATCTATATTCTAATCAGTATTGAGCTTTGTCACATTTTATTACTAACATAAAAAATGAAATTATGAGTAACGAAAAATAGAACACTGATCCAAACAGACTATTTAAAACCGGTATACATACTTGTGTCTAGGTTGGATTCTAAAGTGAGAATACGTTGCTGTGTTTCCATGTTAAAGATGCTTGTATATCCTTTGCTGAATGATGCTACCATATGGCTAGGGTCACTGCTCACTAGATCCACAGAGGCAGGGATTCCAAGTTCTAAGAGAGCAGAAGCATATTCAAAATGAATTTTCATTAGAGGAGATTCTTGAAAACGTGCTTATAACACAGCACAATAAAGAGCGGCATGATTTGCTTAAGAAGTTAATAAGGTTTTCCATTAGAGTAAGAATTAGCTCTAAACCACTCAATAGAGATTATTTCCTTTATTACTTTTAACCCTAGCCTATTTTATTATCCTTTTAAGTGTTCAACAGATCTACCTGTCACTCAGCTAATGTATTTACAGTATGCATGCTAATTTTAATATCAGTATCAGAAAATCATAAATTGAGAGAAATGTGTTCTAAAATCTAAGTGCCTTTATTCAGAAAGCAAATAGAAAACATTTATGAACTACATGTTTTGCTGCTTCCAACCTCATCTTGTGGCTTAGAATGGCACAGCAGGAGCTCTTCATTTAAAAAGCCCAGCCTTTACTAGTAATTCTAACTCATTATAAGAATGAAATTTAAAAAACTATTCAAATATCAAATTTAAGGTGTTTTAATTTACCATCCAGAATAGGTTAAAATTTGAAGCACAAGCCTTCTGGTTAGCAGTCAAATGCCTTAGGCACTACACCACCTGAGCTCCAAACATAAAAAAATAAAATTATATGTATGTATGTATGTATGTATGTGTGTGTATCTCTGTGTGTATATGTGTGTGTGTATATAAGATATATAAGATGGAAAGATACACACACACACACACACATATACATACATACACTAACCTAATTTTTTTCATTTGGCTCAAAATCTAACTAAAGCAAGTTAACAGTTTAAAAATATATGTATAATGGGAAAATTATGAATGGCTAATAAGCACATACAAAAAAATTGTTCAGCATAATTAGCATCAGAGAAATACAAATTACAACCATAATGAAATACTACTACAAACTCACTAGAAATGTCTAGAATTAAATATACTGACCACACCAAGTGTTGATAAGACTGGAGAGCAACTGACACATTATTGGCAGGTGTGTAAAATGGCACAATCAGGTTTAGTAGTTTCACATAAAGTTAAATAAACATCTATCCTAAGACCTAGCAATTGTACTTCTAGGTCTTTACTGCAGCCAAAAACTAGAAACAACCCAAACAACTCTCAAGAGAAAAATGAATAAGTATATTATGGTTTATTCACATAATAGAATAAATAGTTAAACAATAAAAATAAATGAGTTCTCAATACTTGCAACATGGATGAACTGCAAAAGCATTACAATGAGAGTAAAAAGCCAGATACAAAAAATATTGTATTATTCTAATTATATAAAGTTTTAGAATAGAAAAACGTAATCAATGCTGAAAAAAATCACATCAGTGGAGCCTGTGATTGGGTGGCTAGGGAGAGAGGACTGACTGGGAAGGACAAGAAGGAACTGTGGGGAAGTAAAGGAGAGGTTCTGTAACATGATAGGTGTGTGAGTTACAGGGGTGAATGCATTTGTCAAACTCATTGAAATGTACACTTAAGATCTGTGTTTTTCACTGCATGCAAATTGTATCTCAATTTAAAAAAATTATGAGTGCTTTTAGCAAACATCATGCTTTTAAAATTATGTAAGTTGCAAATTCAAACATACTTTTATGACTTCAAAAAAATCTTCAAATTAAATGTAAACAGTAAGAGTTCATAGATTTACTTATTTATTTACAGAATTAGACATTTTACAAAAAAATTGAGCAAAATAATAATAATTAAAAAAAAGTATGTACCTTGATTATCATTAAATACACTTAGGGCTGGAGCAACCTCAGTTGTACTCCATAAACGCAGAGTGCCGTCTGCTGAACAGGATAGTAAACGCTGATGTGTTGCACTATAAGCCAAGCCCCAGACTGCATCTGTGTGGCCTAGCAGAGGGCCTCTTAAAACAGAAGGATCTAAATAAAACATTGAAAATATAAAATCAGGAGGGAAAAAACAAGACATATATATATATTTAGATTCCAGAGAAAAAAATAAACAAAAGCACCTGATACTAGTATAAAATATGCCTTCTAATTTCTATTATTCTTTTCAAAGACTGCAATAATTAAAGACAGGCCTGGAAACATAGAAATGTAGAGCCTAAAATTAAATAGCACAGTTCTTTTTTTCTCCTTAAAAAATTAGGAATTTCTGTCTCCTTCCTGTTATTCCTCCCCATGGACAATTTTCCATTTCTCTGGATTTAAAAAGAACATGTTACCACAAATCATTTGAATTTAATCTACCTTCAGAGAAACCAGAGCTCATATTCTCTTAGGAAGTGAACAAGAGATCCTTCCCTCCTCTGAACTCTCTCAGCACTTTAGCTATACATACCTTCCTCAGGCCATTCATCCTACTCTACTATGAATGGCAGTTATTCCCAGGAAGAACAGCCTCTGACATTTATAAGAGACATGACCTGAAACCTACAGAAATCTCCAAATTCTCAAATAGCAATAACTGAGATATGGATATCGGGGGTCTCATTTTGTATAGTCTTATGATAACAGTCAAAAATTGGAAACTTTAACAAATTATTAATCCTTGCAATGACTCTATGAAGTAGTGCTCTTGATATGGCTCAGATCTCCTCTGAAACATATCCATCAAATATTTATTGAAAACACTGTGTGGCGGCATTTTGCTAGATGCTAGAGTCACACAGATGATTAAGACACTATACAATCCCTGTCCTCATAAGCCTTAGTAGTCTAATGGAGAGGACAATGTGGTTGGTTGAATAATAGTGACAGACACCAATAACCACAGAGAGTAACTGGGATGATGTAAAAGCTGTTTGGAGAGAGTTGCACTTAGAGGGTACAGGAGTTGGCCACTTGATGAACAGAGGGAAGGTATTCCTGGCAAAAGAGGCAGCACCAACAAAATCACAGAAGGAAAAATAGTACGGTACATATTATAAACAGTTCAGTATTGCTGGAATATGAAGTGTGAGGCAGGAGTGAGTAAGATGAGAGCGACTAGTTTATGGTAGGATTTCTATGACTTATTAAGGAACTTGGAAATTATCCTGAAAGCAATCCCAGTCAATGGTTTCCTAAGAGCAGCTGGGTTGAGTAAGTGTTTAATAAGATAACTTTGGCTGTAGTGTAGTAGGACAGAAGACAGAGTGGACAGAAGCAAGATGAAGCAAGGGGAACAATTAGGAAACTGTTTTAGTAGACTGGGAAAGTGATGATGAGGACCTAAACTATGGCAAGGGTAAAAGGACCAGAGTAGATCCCTAAAATATCAAAAAGACTGGGTAGATAAGGCTCTGTAGTATATTATAGTAAGGCACAATATGGCATCAAGGATAACTATTAGGTTTCTAGTTTAGGTAATCCTGGTAGAGTCAGCAAGTAATAAAGACTACACAGAAGAAACAAAACATGGTGGGATTTACTGACAACAAAACAGCCATGCTAAGATTTCCTGAAGGTAGTCCGAAGCCTAAAGAAAAGACTTAGGAGTCAGCAACATATAAAACCATATAAGCTGATTCAACCTCCCAAGGAAAGTTTGTGCAATGCAAAAAATGAGTTAGGGTCTTGATAAACTGCAGTACTTAAGGTGAGAAAAATAAAGGAGTTTATGAAGGTTAGGGAATAGAAATGATGACAGTCATTTTTAAAAAGTCAACAAAGCAGGCAAATTTCAAAGAGAATGGAGTGGTCAATAGTCTCAGACTCAGCCCACAGATCTAGTAAGGTAAGGATTTTTAAAATATCTCTTGGGTCAGGCAATTAGGTAGTCACTGGTAATCTTGTTAATTTAAATGGTGGTGTCAAAAGCCAGAATGCAGAGATAATACAGAGAGGAAGCACACAGAATTAGTAACTAGTAACTGTATTTTAGAAATCCCTGGGTGATGCATGGGAGCTCTGGCGGCATAGTGCCTAAGGCTGGCAGTGCAAACCCACCAGCCACTCCGTGGAAGAAAGGTTGGGCGATCTACTTCCGTAGAGATAGCACCTCGGAGACCCAAGGAGGGGTCACTATGAGTCGAGATTGACTCAAGGCAAATGGTTTGGGCGATGCACATGGTTAAGTGCTCCACCACTACCCAAAAGGTTGATGGTTTAAACATACCCAGAGGTGCCTCAAAAAACAGGCCTGTAATCTGCTTTCCAGAGGTCACAGCCTTGAAAATCCTATGAAACAGTTCTACTCTGCTCACATGGGGTCACCATAAGGTCAGAATCAACTTGACAGCAACCTCCTACTGCCACCCCCTCAATTGTGTTTCCTAGATAACACAATGAAAGAAACTTATGAGGGAAATGAACTAAATAGAAGTGAGAGAGAAATGGAGTCAAGCAGAGACTTCCCTTCACCTGAATTTACACATTGATTGTTGTTGTTGTTATGTGCCCTCGAGTCAGCCCGACTCATAGTGACCCCTCCTTGGGTTTCCGAGGCAGTATCACTATGGAAGTAGGATTGCCCAACCTTCCTTCCAAGGAGTGGGATGGAAAGAGAGCAAAGAGGGCAAGGGGAAGAAAAAGGGGAGAGACAGACAGACAACTAATAGAGCCCCAAGGGAATAAAGTAAGAGAATGAGATCAAAAGCTAAAGAGAAAGGGTTGACCAAGGACAGAATGAGGGATTTATCCTCCAAGAGAGCAGTAATGGAAGTAAGGAAAGGCAAGTAACAGACATATTTGTAAAAGAATGAAAGAAGACGGTAGAGATTAGAGAAACCCTGCTGGGCTTCAGTTGCTTCCTCAGAGGGGAAGTCCTGTTGAAAGCCAGCTCTTTGAGGAAAGAGTTCTTCTGTTCATTCACAGAATAGCCTCTGGCAGACAGTCTTGTGCAAATTTGTTTATAAAATCAATGTTGGGGGAAATTTTTGTTTATTGACTTTCTTGCTTTAACTTAGGTTAATTTAGGTGGCAAAATAATCTAAACTGATAAATGAAATAAATGCTAATATGGCAAATAGAATACTTCAATCTTTCTAAAATTTAAGAAGAAACCAAAATACTCAATTCCTACATAGTCTTTGCCAGAGGAATTTATGGTAAGAGCTGGGGAAGCTGGTGACAAGTTATAATATGAATTTTTGTCTCATGGTACTGTTTCCAAGACTAAAGCATACTTCTTAACTCTGAAGGCCTCTGAAATATTATAGTGTCATGGACTTCAAAACTTAACCTGTTCACCCCTCCAATAAGTGATTAAGAGGATGATGTCCACAATCATTGCCTCAAAGTTGTTAAATAGTGATGCAGTATCATACATTAATTGATAATCAAGTAATACACAGATGCATAAAATGAAGAAAACAAAAGTTAATCAAGTGACTATTTATAGTCAAAGACTTTGGGGTTTGGCAATTGTATCCTCAAGAAGAATGAGTGTTTTTCCTTATTTTTTTAACATTACATATAAAATTCCTTCCCAAATATAGGAATCCTTTCTAACAGAATAAAGATGTGATTCTCCTTTACAAATTTATTCTCAAAACTAATTAGTTATATATGCTAGAAAAAATGTGCAAAAACATTTTATTCTTTCAGATCTTTGGGGAATCACATACCATAAGAGTCATAAGGATCAATGTTGGGGTTAGTGGTATTCCAGCCCTGGATCAGTCCATCAGTACCTCCACTGTAACACTGCTCACCATTGCTGCTCATTACCACACACAGCACTGGACCTCTGGAACATAACAATTTCTATCTGAGAATATGACTTGTTAAAAATAATTATGTACAATCATTCAAATGGCTTTCTATTTGTCTGCTTTTTATGTTGAATGAAAGGGGTGAAAGCAGTGTGCTGTTTCAAACAGCACTCAACTACTAAACAAAAGGTTGTTGGTTTGAACCCACAAACAGGTGCCTCAGAAGAAAGGTCTGGTGATCTGCTTCTTAAAAGATCAAAGCCTTGATAACTCTGTGGTGTGCAGTTCTACTCTGCAGCACATGGGGCTGTGATGAGTTGGAAATGACTTGACAGCAATTGGTTTGCTTTTTTTGGAGTGATGAATAAAAAATACTATTAAAGCACTGTTCATCTTTCTTCCTTTGCTAAATATGGTTTGCAAACTGGCTTGTGGGCCAAAGCCAGCTAATGGTCTGTTTTGATACAGTCCCTCAAGGTAAGAATGGTTTTTACATTTTCAAAGGGTTATAAAATAAAACAACCAACCCAGAGTACGCAGTAGAGAATATATGGCTTGATAAGCCTAAAAAATGCTTACTATCTGCCTTTTATAGAAAAAGTGTGCCACTCTCTGTGATAAATCAATTGAATGGATACATTTCTTAAGCTCAAAAGGAAACAGGAAAAGCATGTAATATGTGATCATGTTTGGAGAAAAAAAAATACCCTCAAATATTTTTATCTGGGATTTATTTAAGGAAAAAAGTCATCATATCTAGTATTTAAACTTAAATTTCAATCTTCTTCTGAAGATATATATCAGTTAAAAATCATGCAAATAAAATCCAATTTCAGCAAAGACCTCTAATTTGGTAGTGTTATGTCCACTTCCAGCATTATGAGTTTCTTTTATATTTATAAAAAACACCACTAAATACAAAAAATATGTAACACAAAATACGTAAGTGAAAGAAAAGAAAATATCCTAATTAGGCTGATTTATAATGATGTTGGTTTAAAACAAAACAAAAAAACCATATACTTACTTATGAGCCCTGAACGTATAGATAGGTTCTACATCAAGAGAAGTACTCCTAAATCAGAGAGAGAAGAGAACTTTTACCACTCTACGTTTCAGTAATGAACAGTCTGACTGGATATATGCCAGAAAATCATGTTTAGAAATACAAACATATGGTAGCATACCATTCTAGATTAAAGGATGCATAAGAAAGACTGCCTAACACCAATCACATATTACCATGGTTTCAAAGAAACAAGAGCCTCGGTTAGTAACAATGCCTCGTTAAGACTGCTTTTAGCCTTGTCGTAATCTATTTGACTAAAGGGAGAGAGAATCTTACTCAGGGAAACATGGGCTTTGAAAGAAGGTTCTGAATTCAATTTCTAGATTTATCAATAACTGGCTAACTTAAGAAAATTATTTAATCTTTCAGAACTTCAGATACCTCTATGTTTAAAACAAAACAAAAAAACTGGAATAACATCAAATACAATACTTAAGTGAGATTCTATCAGTAAACAGTCTAGGGCAGCCATGCACATATATCTACTCCTCATGGTCTGTCTCATTATCTGCCATCTCACATTTATGACAAGAGTAAAAACATCTACTATCTAGCAATGTATGGCCAGCAGTTAATGTATACTGAGGTACGAGGCAAGAGTGAGTAACGCTGGCTGTGATGGTTAAGGTTGCATATCGATTTAGCTAGGCCATGATTCTCAGTGGTGTGGCAGTTATGTAATGATATAATTTGGCAGTTAGTAATGCTATGGTCATCCTCCATTTTTGCATAATGTGGATTTTTGCATAATGACCTGGTGTTTGCAACTTAACCATGTCAGTAAGTATAGAGTGGGTGTAGTAGAATTTCAATAAATGGTACTTTACTTTCCTTACATTTCCATGAAGGCTAATATGAAGGTTTGGAGCTATTTTATAATACACTGGGTCACAATGACTCAGGGGTCAACTCCAAAGAAGCCAACAACAATGACAACATATGAACTGTAAGCAGTATTCAGAAACCCTGGGGAAACCATCAGATGATGTCATTTCTCCTTAAGCATTAAAGATACAAACATATCTTTGATACTTGCCAACAGTCAACAGTCTAAGTCAACAGTTTATTCATGACTAAGAACACTATGATACTTTATGGTGGCCAAACTGTTAATGAACCTAGATTTAAAGCCACGTACTTAACCATTTTCCACACTGCAGGACAAAGATGCTCTATAAAGATTACAGCCCTGGAAACTCTTTGGGGCAATTCTATTCTGTCCTATGGGGTTGCTGTGAGTTGGAATCGATGCCACGACACACAACAGCAGCAGCATTTTATTGCAGTTATTTATATGCATATGTTATCTCCTTATGTCATTTATAAGTTTTAAGTTCAAAGATAAACAGGCCATACTTTATCTCTGAAGATGAATGAATATATAACTAAGCTACCATCAGTGAGAAGCTTATTTCAATGTTATTCTAAATTTTAGTCAAGAACATTCATATTCTCTTGCCTAACATGATGCTCACTGTGACAGAAGGCACGGCTTACTGCCAGGAGGTAACTGGTCTCTGCTGCTGAATCTATATGAGGGTCAATTTGACTTTTAGCAAGATCTGGTTGAGCTATCTGATGTAAACTGATAAATTAAGTATTTTATCTGTCCTACGTACGTATGTCATTGTAGAAATGCCACTGATTTCTTTTAAACGGGGCAATAGAAGTCCTCTCCCCATCTGATGTTGCACTTTTATAGTAATAGCAGTGTTTGACACTACAGAAGGACCCATGGTGGTTTCTGGGCTGAATGGACCAGGAGTAAAGAAGAGCTCCAATAAGGATTCCACCAAGCGGGATCAGAACCAGCATGGCAATTATTAACAGGGTTTATACCAACTCATGTACATCATGCTTAGAGAGGAGCCAAACAACCAAGGGAAGCATACTAGCAGTTAAGTGATGGCAACAACAGTACCTTTCAGTTTAGACATACTGGTAGGTATGGAAACTAGCTAAAGGTTCTGGGCCCAACCATAATACCAAAGAGAGGTCCCTCCCTCTGTTCTCAATCAGCCTTCCCTCTCCTCTACCCCTTGAGTTCAAACGCAGTGGACAACAGTGGTGGGAGGGAGAAAGATGGTTCAGTCATTTTAAACATGCTTATACCCAGGTAGTAGAAAGGGTTAGAGTTCAGCTGCTAACCAAAAGGCTGGAGGTTTAAGTCTACCCAAAGCACCTCAGAGGAGTAGCCTGGCAACCTACTTCTGAAACATCAGCCACTGAAAACCCTATAGAGCATAATTCTACTCTGACAATCGTGAGGTTCCATGAGTTAGTATAAAACAGAAAGCAACTGGTTTTAGGGACCTCTGGGTAGTACAAATGGTTAATGCACTCAGGTGCCAACTGAAAGGTTTGAAGTCTGAGTCCACACCTTGAAAGAAAGACTGGCAATCTACTTCTAAGAATTTAGCCACTGAAAACCCTACAGAGCACAGTTCTACACTGACACACATGGGGCTGCTATGAGCTGAAGTTGACTAGATGGCAACTGGTACTGGTTCTGGTACTGGTTTAGAGACCCTCAGTAAGGATAAAGGGCTACTAAATTATGACAGGTATTCAATACACTGTATAAGGACTGAAGAAGCCTGGGTGGCACCAACAGTTTGCAATTGAGCTGCTAACCTAAAGACTGGCTATTCATCAAATGTACCCAGAGACTTTGTGGAAGAAAGGTCTGGCAAACTACTTCCATAAAAATTATAGCTAAGGAAATCCTTTGGAGCTATTCTATAACACACTGGGTCACCATGACTCAGGGGCCAACTCCAAAGAAGTCAACAACAATGACAACCTATGGACTGTAAGCAGTATTCAGAAACCCTGGGGAAACCATCAGATGATGTCATTTCTCCTTAAACATCAATTTTCCAACTTAACATTAGATCATGAGTAGGAAGAGAAAAACAAATATGTAAGAAATCTCAGAAGGCAGGAATGCATAGGAATGAAGGACACAGGGAAAAGTAACCACAGAGAGGAAGTGGGAAGAGAGCTGTTACTTTGTGGGAAGAAGTGGGAAGAGAGCCGTTACTTTATGAGGATTGCATCAATGTCACAAAGCAAAACATTTATCAACTGTTGAATGGAAAATGAGTTTGCTCTGTAAACTTTCACCCAAATCACAATAAAAAGTTTAAAAAAACAAAGAAGAAGAAGAAAGAATAGGTACACACACAGAGAGTAATGTTTTCCAAAGATTACCAGGGATGGGAGGGAGAATTACTTGCTAGATAGCAGACACCTGTTATTTCTGGTGAGGAGAATGCAATACACAATATGAGAGAAGTCAGCACAATATGACCATGCAACAATAAAAGACAATTACAATAAATGCTATAACAACATACACAATTTTGCAACAAAAAAATTGGTGTGTGGTTACATAGGCAGATTTGTATGCTATATGTGTACAGGAAAGTATGTGAGTACATGCACGTGCATCTACAGGTATACTTACAGGAATAAGTATACACGTTTGTATGCATCATATAGGTAACACAGCATACAGTTACAGAGACCTTCTAGATATATCCAGATACTTCACAGAATTAGTTTACTGAGTTAAAGGGCTTGGGACCATAGTCTCATGAGACAACTCAGTCAACTGGCATAATATAGTTCATAAAAATAATGCTCTACACCCTAGTTTGGTAAGTAACATCTGGAGTCTTAGAAGCTTACAAGTGACCATCTAAGATATTGGTCTCTTCCTGTCTCAATCAGGAGAGAATGAAGGAAATAAAAAACTCAAAGAAGAAACTAGTCTACAGGACTAAAAACCCACATAGATTATGGTCTCTTCTAGCCAGAGATGAGAAGAAATAGATGGTTGGTACCTGCTTACCACCACTGACCATTCTGACCAGTGACACAATAAAAGGTCCCAGATAGAACAGGAAAGAAATGTAGAACAAAACTCAGATTCCTGAAAAAATGTAAGATTTACTGGACTGACAGAGAAATTCCCAACACTGTTGACCTAAGATAATACTTAAGCCACTCCTGGAGGTCACCTTTCAGCCAAATAACAGATTGGCTTATAAAATAAATATTATCACCTGTGAGGAATGTGTTTCCTTAAACAATCAATTACATGAGAAAAACAATCAATACATATTTATCCAAAAGCAAAGATGAGAAGGCAAGGAGGGTCAGGATAATTAGATAAATGGAAATAGAGCTAACAGAAGGGAAATAATGAGAATGCTGACACACTGCAAAAATAGTAACCAATGTTATATTGGAGCAATCTGTATAAAAATTGTTACATAGGAACCTAATTTGCTATGTAAACTTTTACCTAAAACAGAATGAAATATTTAAATAAATAAATAATGTGAATTAAGTGAAACAATGAAGAAGAGATGTCCAGGAAATTTAATAGCAAGTAAGTCTTTTTCTACTGAAAACTGCTAATGAAAATATTCAAATAAAGTAGAATATTCTCACTTTTTGGCTGGAGCTGTCTTCTGTAAATTCCACATTTTTAATGTGTGATCTTCTGATGCTGTTATCAAAACAGGCTCAATGGGGTGGAAAGCAAGGGCTCGGATGCCATCAAAGTGACTTCTTAAAGTAAACTTAGGATTCCATGTCTTCCTCAATGCATCTTTATTGTTTGCTATCTATTAAAGAAACAAAACAAAGATACCACTACATTTAATTCACGATAGGAAGAAAATGTCATTTCAATATTAACTCGTTCTGATATGTCATTATCTCCTTGATACTGTCACTTAATCCTCATAATGACTCTATGAAGTAGAAATTAATGTTATACTAAGTGATCATACCATGCAACTTTCTAAACAATTTTAATTTTAAAGCAATGTAAGTTTTAAATGTAGATAATCAAACTAGTAGGCAATATTGGTAAAATGTAAATAGTAGTTTCTTTCAAATATGAAAGGTATAACAAGAACAGTTAACATATTTTAATATAAACACAGGATCAAATAATTTAATAATGTAAAAAACAATCTAGGATGATTAAAAAAAAATGATAATTTCAAGCTAAATTGTAACACAGAAACTCTACCATTTAGGTAACTCTTGAAAAATAAGTTATCTTTAAATTCGTGAACATTTTGAGAATATTATCTTACTTTTGAGATTTTCAATACTTTCTAATAGAAGTTACATTTTCTTTACTGAAATGGTTACAGAGGCTTTTGGATTTGAACTGCTCATCTTTTGGTTAATAGCCAAATGCTTTAATGACTGTGCCATTAGAGCTCCTATTGCAATTAGAAGGTTATTGTAGATATAAAGGGGAAAAAGTGGAATAGTGTGGTATAGTCAATTACTATGTATGGTTTATCTAGCCATGGTCTGTGTGACTCCCACCAGATTACTGGGTAGGACCATGCAAGTAAGGTGTGTGGAACTCTAATGTGGGGGTTGGTTAGCTTTGTCATTCTGCTAGGCTTAAAATGAGCCCTCCTAGAGACAAAAGAGAGGATTGCACTGCCATCAAGAGAAAAGAACTGGAGTTGGAGTGGAGTGTGTCCGTGGACCTTAGATCCTTGTGCTGGACCTCCTCACAGAAAGATGGCAGAGATGACCAGCTGAGAAACAGGCTGTGAACCCAAGAGGCACAAGACAGAGTAGTGGGCTTTCTACCCCATGGAGTGAGAAAGCTGAGTGGTTTTGGGCAGAAGGTTTGTCGGCAGAGTGATGTGCACCTAGGCATACCTATCAGCAGAGCTAAAAGAGCTTTGTAACATTTGTCCGAGCAGGCAAAGGCCAGGCTGAGGGGCCGAGGGCCAGGGACTGTGTCTGAGGGCACAGCAGAGGGGAGATAGTCTTGATTGAAGAACTGTATCCCAAGAGCATTCCTGAACCTGAGTTGTGACCTATTACTTCCCTAATAAACCTCATAATTGTGAGTATTGTCTGAGTTCTGTGTGGCCATTGCAACAAATTATCAAATCCAGCAAAGAAGTAGTGAGTGCAGTGGGAGAGATGGGTGGTGTCAGAGTTGGTAAAAAGGTTTGGAGGTTGGGGGCATGTTTGGCCTCGTGAGAATAAGCATTGGGCTGCTGAAGGTAACTCTGTTTCCCTTGTGAAGTTGGAGGAGGTCAGAAAGTGCTGCCTCCACATCCTTTTTGCAAGTAGGATGGGAGATGAAAAGAAGTACAGATTTCATGGTTTTAGAGATAGAACCTAAAAGACTTGTGAATGGATAAGGAAAAAGAGTTTTCATTTGCAGAAAGGAATGAGTGGTGAAAATTCTACTTTGTAATGTTTTCTTATCATGTCTAAGGTTAGGCATCCATCCTATAACTCTATATGACATTCTTACCCCAGGAACTAATTATGTTCTGAACAGAGAAAATGAAGTATCAAAATGAGAGAATTTTAATGAAGAGATGAAAAAATCAAACCCACTGCCATGAGTCAATTCTGACTCACAGCGACCTTATAGGACAGAGCAGAACTGTCCCATACGTTTTCCAAAGCTGCAAGTCTTTATGGAAGCAAACTGCCTCATCTTTCTCTCACGGAGAGACTCGTGGGTTTGAACTACCAAGCTTTTGGATAGCAGCTGAATGCTTTATCACTATGCCACCAAAACTCCTAAAGAAGGTAACCTGTAAATACTTTACCTATGAAAAAAGTACTGTTCTCACAAAGCATTAATTATGATGAAAAAGTATAAAAGCATTTATAAAACAACTGTGTGTGGAATTAAATAAACATAAGCACAAAAGTACAAAGATTTCAATTTTGGTTCATATAATTGATCGGTCAGCCTTAACATTGGGAAACCACCCTGTACGTATTTATGCCTAACAATAATTAAAATCACAGCTTGATAGGATATTGATGAGGTACTAAAGAAGCCAGATAAATGTTGCTATTGGGCAGGAATAAATTTCAACTTATCACTGGTACTCTGAAACATAAAGCAAAACCTAAACTTGGTAATAGAAAAGTAATGCCTTCCCTTATCTAAAAGCAATGAACAAACTACACTGACTGAAATACAGACTTAGGTAAATCCTATAATTTTAATGCCTAGGTAATGTGAAAAATGTTATGGTTTATTATGTATTTGTATTTTCAAAGTCTGGAATTAAAACTGAGTCAAGTTTGATATTTATAAAGAAGTTTTACCATTGCTTTCTTTTTCTATAAAATCAACTTTTAATTTTAAAAACTGAATAATGAAATAAACCAAACAAAAACATAAAAACTTAACAACAAAAGTAAAACTACCACTTACATCATAAGTTAATGAATCTGCTTCATTGGCCACAGTAAGGCCTGCCAGCTCTCCAAGTCCCAATTCACTTTCAAGAGCTTCATCTGCTCCCATAATGAACGACTTTCCCGAAGAAGGAGGAAATGTTAACGCTTCCACTGAAGGGGAAAGACAAAACAAAACAAAAAACCTCTAAGGTGTCAACAATTCATCTCAGTCACTTGTATAAAGGTATGTATACATTTGAATATAAATGTTTTTTAACACAGTAAAATTCAATGAGCAGAAAATCCTTAAGAGTTGACTGCTATTTCTGTATCTTAACTGCAAGCTAAAGGCATCACCTAACTAGAAAAGTAGAACATGACACAAACTCAGCAGTCTGCTGTCCTTTTCTTTTTACTATACAGAAAAATAGTATCAGTAAAGCAAATTAAATTTTAATATTGATGCTAATTACCAAAATTATTTCTATCGATTACTAAACATATATAAAAAACTGATTCTTTCTGAAAACTAATGATCTCATTCAAAATAAAATTGGTTAGTTCTTTCATCTGGAAGAATATAGGGAATTTCAAACAAAAACTGTTAAAATTATAAATTATACATATTTGAGACAAAATTAAAATACAGTGTTAGAATTCAGGACTATCTCTAAGGAAGAGAGAAAGCAACACAGGCAGGACTTGTATGGCCCTGATAATGTTCTAGTTCTTGACCTAGGCAATGGTGACATGAATGTGTGCACTGATTCACTGAGAGGTGTACCCTTATGACTCAAGAACTTTTCTGTGGGCATGTTATACTTCATTTAAAAATGTTTATTTAAAAAAAAAAATTTGAGAAGTGTCCATTTGAATACTTTCATGAGCTATCAACTCTGCTTCATGTTATCAGGTTTAATTTGTGATAAACCTGAATATCCTTTATCACACCGAACATACAATCCAATTCTTGCTTTCAATAACCATCATACAAGAATTAGTTAAACCCAAAATGCCAAATTAAAACAGAGATGATTTAATTTGTTCCGAAATAAAATACCACTCTTTGTAAATGAAAATTACTCTGACAATCTCAGATGGTCTTTGAGTAGTTTTCAAAAGCTGGTTACTTTAACAATAACAAACATTTATGAGTTGATTGGATGAATTTCATAGTTCAAATTTTAGCTGCTAAACAGGTAAATTAAAGACATAAATGAAAAGAAACAAGTTGATTTAATTAGTACATGTAGAGAACTGGATTTGAAAGGTATTTTTCAGCTTTATATTCCATCATAGATAATAATATTAACTGACTAATGAAAGAATGTTACTTGCTTTTAAAAACAGTAGTGCAGAAATTCTACTACTTAAAATCATTACAAGAACAAAGTGAAGCATGTTGTTATTGTTGTTGTTGTTAAGTGCCGTCGAGTCGTTTCCGACTCATAGCGACCCCATGCACAGCAGAACGAAACACTGCCCGATCCCGCACC